AGGAGGAAGGGCCATGGAGCTGTAAAGCGTGACTATAAAGTTGTTCTCATAGATGTCACAATTCATACTAGCCAAGCTTTGGACAACAAAGGTATATTAACTGGATAAGATCTAGATTCACTCAGGAAATAAACCTCTTGGCATATGTGTGAGGGAGTATCTAGATTGGGTCAAGATAGGAAGGCCCACCCTACATATAGATAACATCAGACAATGGTCTTGGGGTCCAGACTAAATAAAAAGGAGAAATCCAGCTTGGATACCAGTCTTCTTTTCTTTTTCCTGTGAACTCAATGGGACCAGCTGGCTCAAACTTCTGCTGCCTTGCAATGACAGACCATATGCTTGAACTGTAACCCAAATAATCCTGTTTCTTCTCGATTTCCTTCCTTCCCTGCTTTTTTTTTTTTTAAGAAAAAAATTATCTATTTTATGTATATGAGTACACTGTCACTTTCTTCAGACACACCAGAAGAGGGCATCGGATCCCATTACAGATGGTTGTAAGCCACCATGTGGTTGCTGGGAATTGAACTCAGGACCTCTGGAAGAGCAGCCAGTGCTCTTAACCACTCTTCCTTGCTTTTTTAAGTTCCAGATTTTTTTTTTTTTTTTTTTTGCTGTTGTTTTAAGATTGTTTGCTTGTGGGTAAAGGACTCCACATGGGGCAGAGATGGTGTCAGGTGCCCTGGAGCTAGAGTTACAGATAGTTGTGAGTTGTCTAGCCTGGATGCTGGGAACTGAACTTGGGTCTTCTGCAAACCAATATGTATTCTCGATTGCGAAGCCATCTCTTCACCGCCAACTTTGGAGACTTCTGGTGACCACTTTGAGAGTCAGCACACCTCACAAGACTGAAAGTACTTCTCGTCAATGGAATTTCACTCACAACCTTCAATGTCCGAAGGATCATTGCACAAGAAATAGACAATTACAGAGTTTGGCTGTATCTACTGGAGAGGAATTAGCATTAAGAGCCAGATGGATACTCCCGGGGTAGTGTTGATAAGAGAGCTTTCTCCAGTACCTACTATGTGCTGGACATGATGAATGGACCCTGATGGCAGCCCGTTACATTAGGCACTACAGAATGCCCAAGAGCCGTGTGATTCCCATCTTCATGACAATGAAGTTTAATGGGGAAGCCATTTGTTGGACATCTACTCTCTATTGGGAACTGTTCCAGGGGCTGAGGATGGGATGGTGGATAAAACTGATGGAATTGTAGACCTCAGGGACCTTACATCCTAGTTAAGCAAGTAAGGAGTCGTGAGTTAGATAGGATATGTGGTAGGAAAATGGAGCAAGTGTTCTGGTACATTACTGCTGTAAAACAGTAGCCCAAGTTGATGACCCCACGGTTCCAAAGGTCAGAAGTCAAAAGCATGTTGACAGAGCTCTGGCCCTTCTAGAACTTATAAGAGAGCTCCAGCGGCCCAATAATACATCCTTAGAAACTAGCGTTCTTTTTACCCACAAGGAGGTGAGGCACTAGTATTGGTGAATTGGAATGCCACTTTGCACAGGGTATCAGGGAAGGCGTCCTGAGAGGGTGGTTTTTAGAGTGAATCCAAGCAGGAAGTGATGTAGCAGGGTTTGAGGGAAGATGCTCCTGTCACCAGGTGTTCTCAGAAGACAGCAAGGAGGTCAGGGTGCCTGGAGAGGATAGGATGGGATGGAGGCAGAGGTGGTCCAGTGAGAGGAGTGCTCTCATGGCTGAGTAGTGTCCCTCAGACACCTATGAAGCTCTAAACTCCATGACCCTAAAACAGGACTGTTAAGAGACTGACTCTCTAAAGGGACGATGAGGTCAATAGGGCTGGCCCTGATCCAACAGGACTGATATCGTTCAATGAGGAGATTAGAGTGCAGACACAGAGGACATCAGGCGAGGATGTGGGGAGAAAAACGTTCATCTCCGAGTTGAGGAGGGGCCCACAGGAGAAACCAAACTCACTGACACCTGGATCTTACACTTCTGCTGTTTGAGCTGTGTGGTCTCTGGAGCTTCAACATAGTGGCTAGAGAAAAAGGAAGTGGGCCATGAAGCCCATAGTTCTTTCTCTTCTGACATGGGTCGTCTCTGCTCTTCTCTGAAGGATTTGGACTCTTATGTGGGGGGTTCTGCTCATATAGAGCCACCCTGTATCATCTGGCCCCTGATGCAACCCTGTGTGACTTGGAAGTCAGTTTATGGGCATATAAAACCACCACTACTTTGTCCACTGTTGTTGCTATGAACAATAGAGTCTTGTGCCTTCTAATAGGGTCCTTGGGATTGTGGTAGGTCAACGTCCAGGGTTAGTAGGATAACGCACACTGGAGACGAAGCTCAGATGAGGAATATAGGAGAATGCCCAGAATATAGGAGGCTCTGGGTTTGATTCCCCAGCACAAAATAAACTAGGTGTTGGTAGTACATGTCTATGATCCTAATTACATTTGGGAGGTGTGGTAAAGAAAATCAGAATTCAAGGTCAACCTTGGCTATGCAGAAAGTTTGAGGGTAGCCAGGCAGGGCTATGTGAGTCTCAAAATAAAAACAAACCCAAGCTGAGGAAATGGAGACTCTGCCCAGCTCTTGCTAGGCATACAAGCCAGGAGGGCTGGGAGAGAGGATGGGTGGCATTGGAGGGAGGGCTTGAGCGGAGGAGAGCCATGGCTTAGACTTTGAGGCTCACTAGAACTACTTTCTTGAGACTAGTCAGTGAGGAAACAGGAAGAAGGCAGAAGCCTAGGTTAGTTCTCAATCACTAATTCAGAGACTACATAGTTAAGTCTTAGCAGGGTGAGAAAAAGTGAGAAGATCCTGGCTCGTCCAAAGACAGAGCTGACAGTCTGGGACCTAAGAGGACAAGAGAAGAAAAAACCTTGCACTGCATTTTCAGATTGGTGAACAAAGATCTGTACTGCCTCGGACTGGGATGGGAAGAGGGTCACAGGCATGGGGAAGATGTCCGACTTTTATTTTATTTTTTTGAAGCAGGGTCCCACCTTCGGTCCACAGCTATCCTCTGGTTTCAGTCTCTTGAGTGCTGAGATCACAGGATGTCTAACATGAGATAAGCTATGTTCAATCCAACATTTGGGTGTTGAATGTGGAGAGGAGGGGACAGGTAGATTTAGTGTCATCAACCTTTATATGATATTCAAAGCCATAAGAGAGACAAATAAAACAGATCTAAGGACGAGTCCGAGGGTCATCCATATTTAAACTTTAAGGACGCACAAAGGAACCCCAAAAGAGATTGAGAAGCCAGATGTGGAGCGGAGGAGGCCTGGAACTATTTCACAAAGAGTTGGGGTTTCAAGGTGGAGTAGGGAAGAATTGCTTACAGTAGAATGGACCCACACGCCAGCATCTCTATTAGCGTTGCTGCTAAGGGTTAAGGCTAAGGCAGGGCACAGAACAAGCCAGGGCCTCTGCTGTGTTAGGGACAAGGAAGGCTGAACAGTACACCTGCCTGAGAAATACTGGAACCCGGAAGAGTTCCAAGAGCCAAGAGCTTGGCTGTCTGGGTCCCTGGGCTGCCGGTTAGCTTGCATTTGAACCAGGTAAGGCACAGGACATTTGAATCAGGAATGTGGGGCTGGTTTATGAAACACTCCTGTATGGCGAGACAGGGACGCTGCCATAGTGCATAGGCCCTTTAGGGCCTCGGACTCGCCTTGGATCCTTGGAAATCTATAACAATCTAATTCACTTGGAGTCGTTGGGATGAGCTCTCAGCTGCAGTGCAGTCCAGCTTCATGGGCTCCTGGACTGAGCTAAAGTGGGGTTAATGTCGGGCACTCGGAGTGCTGCGGCGTGGAGGCTACAACTCAGTTGTTCAACATTTTTGTGGAAAGGCTTAGAAGCCTCCGTGGAATCCCATCCACCTACTATCCCAGCCTCAAGTTCAGTTTATTGATGAAACGTTGGACTCCCGTGTATCCCACGGGAAGGGAAGTAACTCTCCTGCTGGGTTCAGAAAAGGAGGCAGAAAGTTGCCAGACAGGGGAGGGGGACCCCGCGCGTCGCAGAGGTTCTTTAAGCGCTCTACTGGCAAACAAACAAAAGCGCGGGCGGGCGGGCGGGCTCGCGCGCCACCTTCCCGGTACCGAGGCGCGGGGCCTGGCACGGGGCACTGGGGATAACCGACAGGGCACAAGGCTCTCAGCTAGCAGATCGGCCGGCTGAAGCAGCGTCCGGGTGTCCCGCGGGGCCCGCCCAGTGTGCTGCGTCGCGAGGGCAGAGCGCACCCCACGCGCGCGGGCCGGGCGGCGCGATGGACTACAAGTCCCAGCAAGCCCAGAGGCAGCGCTGGGCGGGGTCTGGCGCAATTCCCCGGGATCCGGCGCGCTGGGAAGCGCCGCGGAGGACGCAGCGGCGGCTGGAGGGCGGCGAGCGCGGGCGGGGGCGGGGCCGACGTGGGCCGGAGCCCTGCGTGCCAGGGAGGGGGCTGGCCGGGCAGCGGCGGGCGGCGCTCGGAGCGGTCTCCGCGGCTGGCAAGGCGCCCACAGCTCGGTCCCGGCTCGGCGGACGGCGCAGGGAAGCTGAGGGCCCCGGTGCGCGCGGTAGCGCGATACTCACAAGCGCGCGGACCTAGCCGCAGCGGTGCGCCCCGGAGCAGAGCGGCCACTGCCCGGGGGCCTCGGCCCCGGCGCTCGCAGCGCCGCGCTGCCTGCGCTTTAATGGCTGCTCGGCCGGCCGGCGCGTAGGGGTGCGGGCGGCTGCGGCGCGGGAAGGCGCCCGAGCAAGCCTCCTCCGCGGCCGGCCGCGCTCCATGGCGCCGCGGTCTCCCCGGACGGCCCGCTGACCCGGGACGCTGGTCCCTGCCATGAACTGAGCCCCTCTACTGCTACATCCTCAGCTTTCTTTCTTTTTTTTTTTTTTTGCGCCTCCTCGGCTCCGTGCTCCCCGGGGGCTGCGGCGCCCCGGGTCTCGGTGGCCCGCGGGGCTCCGGGGCGCGGGGCGGCGGCGACGGGGGGCGCGCGGCTTTGGGCGCCGCGCCTGCACCATGAACTACCAGCAGCAGCTGGCCAACTCGGCTGCCATCCGGGCCGAGATCCAGCGCTTCGAGTCGGTCCACCCCAACATCTACTCCATCTATGAGCTGCTGGAGCGCGTGGAGGAGCCGGTGCTGCAGAACCAGATCCGGGAGCACGTCATCGCCATCGAAGGTGAGGGCCAGGCCGCCCGGGGCTTCTGGAAAGCGCGGGGGAGCGGGCGCCCTGGCGCGGCGGGTGTGTGCGCGCGTGTGTGCTTGCGTGTGTACACTCGAGGCTGCCCGGCGGAGAGAGCACTGCGGTGTCTCTTGCCCCGCAAGGCCGGCCGGTCTGCCTGGGAAGATTGATTGTCAGCGTTCGTTTGATAATGGGACAATGGAGTCTCTCCTGTGAGAAAGTGCTGCTGCGTCCTGGGCCGCCCGCATGTCCCGTCCGGGCCCAGCAGACGCCTGGGGGGCAGCTGCTTAGGATGGCGCCACTCGATCCATGACAGGTTATCAGGCCGGGCCTGAGCGTCTTCCATGGACGTTGAAGATGTGTTTTGAGAAGCGCTGCTGCTGGGGGTGCTGTTCCGGCCAGCTTATTCAGTTGTTTCATGGCTGTCTTTTTTTCCCAGTTCGTGGATACAGGGGAGGCATTTGGATTTGGCGCATGTAGGAAGCCAATGGGACCCAGGCAGCATCATGTCCCAGTGCTGCTGATCAGCCTGGCCTTGTTCAAACCCTGGCCGTTTTGTACTAAAGTCCTTAGGCAAATTATAACCCTTCTAGGGAGGCAGGACACCTTGATACTATTTTGCTGAAGGGGGCACTTTAATACACCTGCCACTTGGGAGCCACCCAAGAGGAGGAAAAGTGGACGGTCCTGCTACCCATAAGCCTGTGTTTGCACAGAACACTGTCTGACTCCCCAGTGTCAGGCAGGGCAATATCCCTGTCGGGGAGGACAGAGCTGGCGGCTTTGCCCTGGCTTGTGTTCTCTTTGGACTACCCATGGCTCCTGTTTCTCCCCTACTAGGTGCCTGAACTGTTCCCTTGGGTTGTTTCTCCCGGCCTGCCATCACTTACCTGGGGGAGCAGGTGGCATCTAAGTGGGTAATGTGTCATAGTTCAGCCAGTGGATTAGCAGCTCTTGAGTTGCTGTTGGCCAGTGACAGTAAAAGGCCTGCAGGTGGCTTGTCCTAGTATAATACTGTGCCTGCCAAAGGCTGGTGAGTCCTCTATTGAGGACCATGGGAACCTTCCAAGTCCAGCAGGAGTGTGCTCAGAAACAGGTGCAGGTACTGCTTGGGCTCCTCCCCCTGTTGTGAGAAGGCCTCTGCCCCCGGGAAAGCTTGGCTCCCATGCTGTCTGAACTTCTAACCCTGAAGTGTTTGGGTTTAAAACTTAGCTGCTTGGATGGAGATGGTGGAGGCTCTGTTGCTGATCCTCTTGGCATTTGGCAGCCTCATGTACTTGAACAATGTTCCAGGCAGGCTGGAAGACTAACTATCCACAGGATATATTGTAATTCTAGGGGAGGGTCCAAGCAAGCCCCGTCCTTATGAGGGACTGGCTTCCAGTGCACCGGGGCCTCCTGAGTGTTCATGGCTGCTTGTGGTGGCTTCAGATGCTTCCAGACCCATTAAGAGCCACGGCTTCTGTGTGGCATGGAGTCTTGTGGTGTTGAGGAGGGTACTGTCTTCCCCTCAGCCCCCCAGCTGATGGTGAGGAGATAGAGCTGTTGGGTTGATCTGAGAGCCGTGTGTGAGTCCCTGTCAGAAGTGCTGAAAGGTTCTCATGTTTCTCTCAGATGGCTGCTCAGCTCTCTGGCTGCCTTTACAGAAGTCTGATGAAACCCTTTGAAAGCTGGTGCCAGGAGTGGAATGCACCTGACTGGAGCAGAGCTCCTCGCTCTAGAGGAGAGAAAGACCTCCAGCTGAGTGTGACTCATTTCCCATTCTTAAAGCTGCACTCTAGGGTCTTGTTAGCAAGAGGATGTTTTCTTTCTTTTCTTTCTTCCTTTCCTTCCTTCTTTCGCTTTTTAATTATTCTTCCACAATGATCTCTTCTTGATAGCTTGATACTCACCTTAATAATAGGAGTCCAAGTACCCTTTTGGTTGTAACTTTTGTTGTTCTCAGTGAAACCTGAACTAATGGATGGCTCATGCTGGAGACTCTGATAATGCTATAATCTGGTTAGGACTAGGAACGCCTATGTAAGTCTGTAGCATTCAGTGAGCCCAGAGAAGCCGTCGGATCTGTCTCTGTTCATTGTGCCCTTATCTACAGTGGTGCACTGCACATTTGTGGAGAATTTGAGGACAGATGTTTTGGTATTCACAACGGCCTCATCTTATAGGTAGAAGTCAGGGAGGGGTGATGACCTCTGAGCTAAGGGGTCAGTAGGGCCCTGAATCTCTGTCTTCCCAAAGCATCACCGTTTTAGGACCTCACCGAGCCTCATGTAATTAAATCCTAATTCGTGAGTTATAATGCAATGGCATTTTCGTGTCAGTTTTCAGATATGGGCAGGTCTTACAACTGCTCCTTTGATGTTTGGCATGGTTGCTGAGTTGTGGTCACATGGTGGTCTTGGTTGAGAAGAGAACAAACATTTTTTATTGAGAACTTCATGCATACGTCTGTGTGTGTGTTGATCATTTTGATCATCTTTACCTTCCAGTCACTTCCCATTTCCCCTCCCAGCTTCATGTGCTTCCTCACTCTGACTGCAGTTAAGAACACAGAGTCTGTTTACTGCTGCTGTGTGGCTGTGCATGGGTGTAGGGTGGTCCACTGGAGCATCGGTTGCTCTTTTAGGGGCCACATCCTTGAAGAAAACTGACTCTTCCTCCCCAAAGCAGTATTTAAGTGCCAGTAGCTCCTCAACTAGAGGCAAGCCCTTCCCCATCTGTGCTGGGATTTTGGCAGCCTGGTCTTGTGAACACTGTCACACCTGGCATTTGTTCACGTGCACAGTGCTGTCATGTCCAGCAATTCCTGCTTCGGTGTACACCTCCACTGTCATCTTTCTGACCCTTCCTCTGCAAGGATCCCTGAGCCTTGGTGAGAGGGAGTCAGTGTTATACAGGTGTTCCATTTAGAGCTGGGCACCCCCCAGTTTCTTATGCTCTGCATATTGACCAGTTGTGGGTGTCTACTGATCTCTCCTGCAAAAAGAAGCTTCTCTGATGAGGGTTGAGAGGTGTGCTAATCTAAGGGTATAAAGATTAATTTAGGGGCCAGCTTATTATTATGTCCATGTAGGAGAATAATAGTATTAGGTTCTCCCCTAGGGCCTATAACTTAGCAGGGCATGAGTTTTTGGCCTAGTTAGCAATGCCAGACATAGAGTGTGTCTTGTAGAACAGGATTTAAATCCAATGGGAAACTGGTTGGTTACTCCTATAACATTTGTGCCACTAATGCATATATTGCCACATACATATAACTTGTTATAGCTTGTGGGAGTCACAGCTGGGTAAAACTGCACTATGAATGTTAGCCAGTGGTGATGAAACTGCCAGGTCAATACCAGCTTGATTTCTTCATCTCTTATGTATGTGGTATCTTTAGCTATTGGGCCTTACTGTCAAATTCTAGATGTTAACTAAGAATGATAGCAGTGGGCTGTAAGGAGTGTCTATATTAGGAATCTGTGGTATCCCACTAATCAGTAACTCTTAGGGGGCTGGAGAGATGGGTCAGTAGTTAAGAACATTGTTGTTTCATAGGATCTAAGTTCAGTTCCCAACATCCATGTCTGGTGGATGCCTGTAACTCCAGCTTCAAGGAAATCTGATATCCTCTTTGGTCCAGCCAAAATGTGGATACCTGCAGACACAGGTATATGCAGATACAACATGCACATACACCAAATTTGGATAGTTGTGTCTTCATTGATGCTGAACTGGAGAGGCATTACCTTGGTGGTACAAGGTGACACAAGCTTGGAGACCATGACTAGAGTGTAGACCATGACTAGAGCCTGTGCTGGACCACTACAGTAACCGAAGTGAGACCCATCCCTGTCAGAGACAGACCCAAGTGTCTCCTTGTGATGTGACTAAGAATGAGCATGAGAAATTACAAAACATGAATCTTTCAGGAAAGGGTATGCATATCACTGGAAATTTTTTTTTTTAAAAATCACTTGCTTCACAAAACCAAACCTGTCATTTCCCAAGCTATCTAATTAGACTTTCTCCCCTCCATGGCTCCTTATCAAGCAAGGCCTTTGGATTGTCACAACAGAAGCTTTTCAGCCTTAGGGGACTTTTGAAGAAACAGTTTCTGTGTTGACATCACATGTCAGCATTTGGCTCTGCTGTAATGTCTTTAAAACCTTGCTGCTTTCTGGCATCTACATGATTGTTTGCTCTTGGGGTGAGGAACAACCTTGGGGAAGAGGAAGATGTTTCAGTTACTGCTTGCGTCTCAGTGAGATGATTTTGGCTTCCTTGGAAAGTAAAGACAGGCAAAATGGTTGTAAGAGCCCACTGAAATCCTCAGATAACAGTATGTTGAGGATAGTATTTGTAGGCCTGGGCACATCCTCAACCCTGGTTTAAAACACTACCTTTAAAAAAAACTGTTTTTGTTTTTTGTTTTTGTTTTTTGTATTTTTTTCTTACTCTGAGAATCTTCTTGACTCCTGAATCTTATTGATTTAAGGAAACATTAATGATTAGTCTCACATTTTGCCCAGCAGATTTCTGGGAGTGTCCTGTAGGGGTGTGGTCCGCTATGGGGTGTAGCATGTGCCATCCCTGTCCAGAAGTGAGCCTGAGACTCCGCCTCACCTCCATCAAGCCTCTTGAGTAAGCTTTCCCTCTGGCTAGTCAAGGACTCTAGGGTGGATGGGTTGAGGCGTACCAGCCAACCACCTCTCTCGTTAAGTAAAGCTTGTTGCTCTTTTAAGGCTAAAGCCTCTGTTAGCAGTCACACATTGTAATTCAGCTTGCCAACAGCAGAGCCAGGATCCATGTGTGTGCCTAGGGCTCGCTCATTCAGCCTGGTAGTACGCTTCCAGTCATACCAGGCACTGCTGGGAAATCTAACCAAGTCTCTGAAGTAGAGACACCTTCCCACCTCAGGGTTCATGTTGCTGTCCTCACGAGGTGGCTGATCTGTATACCTATGTCCTGCCCTGGTCCACCACAGGAAGACTAGAGGGGGAAGGGCATGGTCC